CATGTTTGTAGCACATAATGATTACATTTGCCAAAGGGAGTTGGTACATGTCTCTAACACATCTCAGCTCTTTGCATGTCCCTCCCCTTCCTTCACTACATCAGAATGAAAAGGGACCTATGGGTGAGTAGAAAGAAATTGTGAGGAAAGCTCAAGGCTAGAGAAAGCAAACCCTAACCCTAACCCTAAGGCTGTCTGAGGGCAAATGGGACAGATGGGACAGGCACTCCCATGGGAAGGACACCAGCTCCATAAAAGACACTAGAATGGTGGCTCTGGCCCTGGACTGCATTTAAGCCTTAGCTCTGCTATTTACTTATGTTTGACCTTGAACATTGCTGACCCACCCTGTGCCTCAGTTTCCTCATCTGCAAAATGCTAAGAACTGGTTTATTCTTTTTGTGAGGGTGAATTACAGCCCTGGACATGGTGTAAAAGCTCTGTGAGTAGAGGGTCAGGGTCTAAATCAGAGGCAGCATCTGCTATAGGAGGTTAGGAGGGCGCTGCAAAGGAGCCAAGGCTGTACATCTGGGTAGCAGTGTCCTCAGGGCCACCGCTGTCCTTGGGAATGTGAGAGGCCTCCCCTGGGCACTGCCTGTGCTCAGGGCACCCCAGCTTGGGATGAGGTGAGGCCGCACTCAGCCAGTACCTGGTCTGCACCAGTGGGACCTGCCTTCCTTTCCCAGAACTGATCATCACGGCGGGTGGGGAGAATGTGCCCCCACTACCTATTGAGGAGGCCGTGAAGATGGAGCTGCCCATCGTCAGCAACGCCATGCTGATTGGTGACCAGAGGAAGTTCTTGTCCATGCTACTCACCTTGAAGGTGTGTGGGATGCTGAGCCTGAGGGGTGCGGGGTACAGCCTGATGGAAACCTTGCAAGCTGGGGCCTATCTGGATCCCAAGTCGATTCTGAGGGCAGTCAGTTCTCTGTGCCTGACACTGAGGCACCCCCTTCCCCAGCAGGAACTCAGGCCCTGGGCTTGTAGATAGTCAGGAGCAAGGCCCCCTTTTCCAATTGATGATGTCATTGACTGGGGGTTCAACATGGCGGCACTGTTCATTCCAGGTCCCTCCCTGAAGCAGCCCAGTGTGCTTAGCACCTCACTATCTGCTTTCTACAGAGCGGGGTCAGTGCTCACATGTCTTTTGGCTTTTCAGTGCACGCTGGACCCAGACACCTTTGAGCCAACAGACACCCTGACAGAGCAAGCCGTGGAGTTCTGCCAGAGGGTGGGCAGCAAGGCCAGCACTGTGTCTGAGATTGTGGGCCAGCACGATGAAGCTGTGTACCAGGCCATCGAAGAGGGGATCCAGAGGGTCAATGCCAATGCGGCTGCCAGACCCTATCACATCCAGAAGTGGGCCATTCTTGAGCGAGACTTCTCCATCTCAGGAGGAGAGTTAGGTAGGTTCCACTGTCCCAGGGGCTGTGGGAAGCAGAGGCCACATAGTGCCAGGCAGGAGCCCACGAGGAAGCAGTCACAGCTAGTAAAAGTCTGGGACAGGCCTTTGGATAGCAGTCACATATCTTCCTGTGGGAGGACACTGACCACTGGGAATGTGGTTTTGTGGCTGTACAGAGCCTGGAGAATGTACAGTCGAGCCTGTGTACCTGTGGGTTTCAGACAGGTGGATGAAACCAACTATACATGGGAAACATTTGGGGAAAAAATGCTTCTCCTGTACTGAACATGTAGACCGTGTTTTTGTGGTTATTCCCTAAATGGCACAACGAGCAACTGATTACATAGCATTTCCGTTGTGTTGGTAGTAGGTATTTAAGTAAAGATGATTTGAGGTATTTGGAGAACATGCCTAGGTTATACATGACTACACTGTTTTATGTGGCACTTGTGCATTGTGGACTTTGATGTCTAGTGTGGAGGATCCTGGAACAAATCCTCCAAGAACACTGAGGGGTGGCTGTATATATGTGCCAGGACTTAGTAATTTGAACACAGGTTTTTTTGCCTTGACTATGGGACTGTTGTCCCTTTCAAATCTCAGTGGACCCATAAGGCCATGCCTGGCCCTGCTGGTATTCAGACTGGCCTTGGCCTGGCTGTAAGGGACACTGCTGTCATTTGCAGTCAGCTTGTGAATGACACTGTCTGGACCACAGTGCAGGACCAGGACACCTGAGGTGCACCCTCACCTGGCCACATGAAACCACTCCTGATTGTGACATCTTGGGGTGCTCATGGCACAGGGAGAAGGATAGCACATACCTCTATAGAGCCCCCCTCAATGCCAACAAGGCCAAACTCAGTGGGACAAGCTTCAGCAATGCTGAGTGGTGGCTGGAGGCCTCAATGTCTCGCTGTCCAGGACTGACAAACTGAACACAAGGTCAAGGAAATGCAAGATGCCCTCCTTCAGCAGATGCTGATGTTATAGCTTCCAGTGACATGGTCAGGGGTAATATAGGCTACCTAGGACCTCAATCATGTTTCAGATGGCACAAACAAAAAGTGACTGAGGGAGGAAGTCTCATTTACACTTTAACAGAGCTGTCCTAGAAACAGAGCTAATTAGAGCATTAGCTATCTGTTGCTGTGTAACGTCTCCCCCTAGTGGAGCAGTAAGACTGGTCTCTGTTTTGGTGGGTCTGGGCGCAGCACAGCTGAGCTTTGGTTCTGGCTGAGTCTCTCTCTGAGGTCACTGTGGGCAAGGGGCTGTCTCCCAGAACTGGAGGCTGCAATGCATCTATCATGTGATTGTGGGTGCCTCCGTTCCTTACTGGCTGTGAAACAGACCCATTCTGGCCCAGGGACTTCTGCACAGGCTGCAATAATGCCACATAGTATGGCAGCCAGCTCCAGGGAGATGAGATGCAAAAGCCTAAGACAGAAGCTGTAAGAGTGTTTATTTCTATTTTTGGACTGGTTTACGGGCCCTCTGTATTTGCGTGTTTCATGTACATAATAGACAACCAGCCTTAGATTTTAAAATATTGTTTTTTTAAAATGAACCTATAGAGCCAGGGACATAGCTCAGTGGCATAAGCACCTGCCTGGCAAGTGCAAGATTGTGAGTTCGATTCCCAGTACCAAAAATAATAACAACAAAAAGCCTGTATTAAACACATATAGATTTTCCTTGCCATTATTCCCTAAACAGTGATACATGCAGGACTTTGTACACAATATATATCTGTATCTTCTTAACAAAATTATATTGCTCGTTAACGTTTCTTGGATCTGAAGTTTCTATTCATAATAATTCATGTATTCAAAGGAAGCATCTGCCTTTATCTTCCGTATCAGTAAGAAAATTTTTGCTGTTTTAGATGTAAACTAATACATCTATTCACATAGTATTTCTTTGGCATTGTAAGTAGCCAAGAGGTTATTTAAAGAAAACAGGACAAAAAAATAAATAGATAAATAAATAAAGCAAACAAGCATATGGGAGAAGCTGGGCATGGTGGTGAGGACGAGGCAGGATGATTCTAAGTGTCCACTTAGCATAAAAAGATGGGAGGCAAGAATACAGTGGTGTCTCAATTCATGAACTTTTTTGCATGATTATTGGTGCAAACTGGCCAAAACACAGGATCAAGGTCAACACTAAATCTAACCATTGAATTTTGATTTGGTGCTTGTGAGGCCCCAGGTTTGATCTCTAGTAGCAGGGTAGGGAGTGTAGGGGACCATGGGCCTGGGTTATATGCAAATACTCTGTCATTTTATTTATTTTTAAAGTAGGAAGAATTTATTGAAAGAAAGCTTCTAAGAGAAATGAAAGGGGGCCCAGAAAGTGGGTTGCCCATACTATGCCATTTTATGTAAGGACTTGAACACTTTCAGATTTAGGTGCCCATGGGGCCCTGGAAGCAATTCCCAGTAGACCCTGGAAGATTCAAGGGACTGAATCTTCTGGTCAGGGATAGGCCCAGGCATGGTCAAGAAGCCATGGTTCACACTGTCTGTCCACCCACTGGGCAGAAACTACAGTCATTTCTGACCTATTCACTGCTGTTGGTCACCAGCCAGCCCTGGCCACCGCAGGAGCCTGCTCAGGGTGTGATGCCCAGAGGCCCGGATCGGAGAGGCTGGCACCTCACCCTGCCTTCCTTGCCTAGCCCACTCCTGAGTTGGCATCTTTGCCGCACACCTCTCAGCATCTGCTGAGCTTGGGCCTCACTTTTTTCTATTTCTCTTTCAGGTCCCACGATGAAACTTAAGCGGTTCACAGTCCTGGAGAAGTACAAAGATATCATCGATTCCTTTTACCAAGAACAAAAGAACTGGGACCATCCATGTGGTTCCCAGTGAATACAAAAGGTAGCCTCTGCCTGTGGAGGCATTTCTGAGCTCTGGGCTCTCCCATGTGGCTGTAGGAACTCAGGCAAGTCTGTCTGGCCTCCAGGCCAGGTTCCATTCCAACAACTACAACTCCAAGAAGCTCCATCCACATGGGGGTAGTTTAAATTCTGCTTAAGTATTCAGGTGATGAAATTCAACTCTTCACAACTGAAGAGTTGATACCACTCGACCCTAAGTCCAGGGAGACCTAACAAGCCAGTGCACCAGAGGCCAGGGTGGGGATGGGGAGTTGCGTTACTAGTTTGTGCTGCAGGTAAAGCCATCTAGCTTACTTAATGGCCAGACTTACTCTGGAATCTTCTTGGACGCTGCCTAATAAAACTGCTGCTGCCATGTGACTGTATTTAATGTGTAATATGAATATTAAACTTTTAACAGAACTGGCAAAAAGTACCTGGTTTTTTTGTCAGTTGTGCAAGCAAGACACAGAGCAGTGAGTATTTAACCTGCAGCACAAGTGTGACAGCATGAGTTACCATTTGCAAACTGTTAGAGCCAGGCAGGATGGGTTGGTGGGGTGATGCAGTAACCGGAGCCCATTCTGGCATCAGCATGTACCACCAGGCCATACTTCTATTCTGTCCACTGTGAGTGGTCATTCTTAGCAATAAGCTAGGCTGAATTGCCCCAAGGTACATGACCAGGAAAGGCAGAAGGCATACAATATCTTAGTTGTTTTGGAATTCTTTATTTCTATAAACCAAGAGCCACTGGTAATTAGCACAATCTAATAAAACAAAGGAAGCAGCAGCATAAACAAAATAAAATACATGTAAGATTACTGGTCTGGTTACAACCTTAAAAAAATGACCCACATGAAGATATCTGCTGTTAAGAAATTCCCTTGTGAGCTGAGGACATTATGCAAAACCGCAGGTTGCAAATTGACAGGGGCAAGGGAAGACACATTGTCTTTGGTACGAGGCCAAAGCGCAGCTGCTCATGCTGCAGCCAGGGCAAGGGCGCGGGAGGAGGGAGCTGAAGGTCATAAGCTGACAAGACCACGCTGCAGGGTGACTTGTTTTATGAGTCAGCTCCCTCTCTGCAGGGCAGGGGCTGGCTGAAGGGCACAATGATTTGGAGGAGGCCAAGGGACAGCTGCTGAGATGTAAATCAACAGCCAGCATCCCAATCCCTCAACTGCAGCTGAAAACCAGGGATGGGCCCCTAGCAGTAGCAGCAAGTGGTGCCATCTCCCTGCAGAGTCGGTAGAGGGGACTTGACAGGGTTGGCTCCTGGCCCGGCTCAGTTAGGACATGGCTGGGGGCCTTGATACATGGGACAGTGACAGTACATCCAGGGAGAGGGTGGCACCACCCAAAGCTTCATTAGGAGCCATACCAACTGTGTTAAACTTCAAAGTAAAACCATTGACTACACAATACATGCAGGACTTTGTACATAATATATTATCTGTATCTTTTTAACAAAATTATATTGCTCATTACATTTCTTGGATCAGAAGTTTTTATTCATAATAATACATGTAAAGGAAGCATCTGCCTTTATCTTCTGTATCACTAAGAAAATTTTTGCTGTTTTAGATGTGAACTTTCCTGGGAAATTTCTCCTGTGCCCATTTAGTTTTATAAGAATGTCATCTTGTGCTATTATGTCCATGTCCTGTTTTACTTCCATTATGTTTCTCATAAGCCAAAGAAAGACAGGACTTTTGTTTAAAAAGTTACATGTTTCTTATTAATTTTGTATCATAATTATTTACAGCTGAGGAAAAATTACTTAAAGTGTAAAATGGATAACAATGGCAAATGATACAAGTCTACTTGGAGTTTACAAAACAATGTTTACCAGATAGACATTTAATAAATAAAACAAGCACTTGGAAAAAGTCCCTTAAAAGCAAGTCAGGGACATCCCCTGCATCCTTTGCACAGACTGGTTAAGAAAAGGCCAGATTTTATCATGTGCTCTGTCAAGAAACAAGCAAACCAAATGCACACAGAATGAGAGGTTTATGAGGCAGGGTCCATTAGGAGTGACGCAGCCTACACCATCAGTGAACCGTTAGTCTAAATCTTTCACTCGGCGACAGATTTCTTCTGTGAAGTCTGAGCACTTCGAATTGCCTCCCAAATCTTTTGTTAAACTCTGAGAAAAGGAAACAGCAAGAATAAATAGGGACTCACACCCTGAACAAAATCAAAGGTGTTGTCAAAGCCTTTGGTGAGTTATGAACTGAGCAAGGAACTTACCTGTTCCAACTTCCACTTAGCTCCTCTTGAGAGGCCCCCATATACCATCTACTCCCCAGGAGGACCAGGTGACCCCATTACAGGGAGTCCACAAGAACACTTCGATGCTCCTGCTACAAAAGGCAGCACCAAAATTTCTCCTTTGTTCATAGTCTCTAAGAAATACTATCTAATTATGGCTTTTTTTTGTTTGTTTGCCTTTTTGAAACAGGGTTTTGCTATACAGTTTGAGCTGACCTTGAACTCACAACACTCCTGCCTCAGCCTCCTGAGTGCTGTGATTATGCATACTGAAATTAAAGAAAAACTAAACAGGAGGTTTTATAAAGTTCATGGGAAATTTTTGAAGCTAAAAAACTTAGGACATGTTCTGATCTATTTTTAGACACTAGAAAACAAATATCAAAGGATAAGGGGCTGGGGATTTAGCTCAGTGGCATAAGCACCTGCCTTGAAAGCAGGCAGTCGTGAGTTCGATCCCTGGTACCGATAAAAACGAAAAAGACAAAAAAAAAAAAAAAAAAAAAAAAATCAAAGGATACTTAAGTGACTGCCTTAAATTTCCCTTCTTACAAGAGGAAGTCTCCCATACAGTCTATCAGCTTACTCTCTCTCTCTGCTGCAAATATACTTCTCTTGGCAGACGTGGTGGCACATTCCTGTAATCATAGCACTTGGGAGGCTGCAGCAAGAGGATCACTGTGAGTTTGAGGTCAGCTTGCACTATGTACTGAGTTTTAGGCCAGCCTAAACTACATATGCAGACCCTGTCTTTAAAAAAAATGGCAGGGGGCTGGGGATTTAGCTCAGCGGCATAAGCGCCTGCCTTGCAAGCAGGCAGTCGTTAGTTCAATCCCCGGTACCGATAAAAAGGAAAAAGACAAAAAAAAAAGGCATATACATATATATTTGTGTTTTATCTACATCCTGCACAATTAGAGTCTACTGTGTAACTCAGGCATTTCTCTGCTAGACTCTAGAACGTGACTTCTCAAAGTTTTAGAATAAAAAGAAAATCAGTGCTTCTTAAAGTCACTACTCTCAGGCTGTTAAAAACAAGCTTAGGGCTGATGATATAATCAGTGGTTGAGCATTTGCTTAGCATGCAAAAGGGCCTATGGTCCATCCTCTCCAACAAAAAACAAAACAAAACAAAAGCTTGCATTTCTTGTATTTTGGTTGTATGGAAGAACATCAAATTGTAACGTCTTTATAAAGGTGCTTTGGAGAAATTCTGCTAAAAAGCAGATTTGGCAAGCTAGGTATGGTGGTACACAGGCTGAGGCTGATGAGGCTGAGTCCAGCCTAGTAATTTATTGACTCTGCAAGACTTTACTTGAAAACATACCAAAAAAAAAAAAAAAAAGAATTGGGGAAGTAGCTTAATGAAATCCCCAGTATCACACAGGAAAGGACTTGCCGAGACTGCACAGACAGCAGCATAGCCAGGCTTGGCCTCCCTCTGGCTCCTACTGTCCTTCTCACTGTGCAGTGTTCATCAGTGCTCCGTGATCCTTTCATGTAAAATACCTGGGCCCTGACCTCAGCAAATGAACACGTGTGCACACACTTCCTGAAGTTCATGCAGAATGTCTGCACTGAGAATCTGACAACATTGATTCCTTCTGCTCTCCTAAATGAGGACAGGACTCTCAACTGCTCCCTTCACACAGACACAACAAAGAGGAGATATACCTGCCACACACAGATCAAGGGCGTGATACCTTTCCATCCTTGATTGTGGCAAAGCACGCGGCCTCAATCCTTGCAGCGTGGTCAAAAAGCCCCATGTGGCGCAGCATCATCACGGCACTGAGCAGGAGGGCAGTGGGATTGGCCATGTCCTTGCCTGCGATGTCTGGGGCCGTTCCATGAACCTGAATGGCAGGAAGGGAGCATCAGCAGGAAGGAAGAAGATCAGAGCCCGCATCCCTTGGCGGGTGGTGGACACTCGCCCAGGGTTCCACGTCACTTTCTTAGCCACCAATCCCCAATGGCGAGTGCTGATAGTGCTGTATATAATTCACAGACACAGACCTTGGGGAGTAAAGCCTAACAGAAATCCAGAAATAAACTTTTAAAAGTACAAAAATACAGAACAATGTTTTTCAGTCGATTTTTGGTAAAATACAAGCAAGGAAGGTTACACATAAATATCTAGAGGAAAGTGAATAAATGAAGGCTATTTATAAAATTATGCACCATTCTTTTGACAATCTATAAAATGGCATGTTAAACCCTAAGTATACCTGGAGCCCCTACCAAGCTCTGCTTGGGTAAGCTCTCCCTTACCGACTCAAAGATGGCCACCCCGTTGGCTCCAATGTTGCCACTTGGGGTCACACCGAGACCACCAATCAATCCTGCACACAGGTCACTGGAGGCAGAAAAGCATTTTGAATGACTTTTAGAACAGGAAAACATCATACCTGGCATTCAGACTATTTTAAAACACTATGCTTCACTAACAGGGAGCAAGGTTTCGTGGAGAAATGACTGATTCCAGGGCTGACTCAGAAGGAGGCACTGAGACCACAAGAACTAGATAGAAGCAACCCACCTTTATACTGGCCACATCCCAGCCCTTTCCTACTAATCGTTTTCTAAAATTTTGGGACAGGGAGCCTGGCCTCGCTGGGCCACCTGAGCATCCATGGAAATGATGCAGTGAGGGCCACAGCTGTGAATCCACAGAACACTCCGAGCCCACATGTCATAGCTAAGTGAACAGACATAGAGGAAGGGCAGCCCATCCTCCCAGCAGGATGCCAGACCCTAACTCACAAGGGATGATGGCTAGAGCAATCACATCTGCCCCACATGGATGGTGAAATGTTGAAATGTGGCAAACCCAGGTGCTGAGTAAAGGGATTCTTTGCACTATTCTTACAACTTTTCTTAAAGCCCAAAAGTCACAAATTCCTGGGAATGGGGGTGTGGCCAAGTGGCATAGTGCACGCTAGCCCAAGGTTTGATCCCCAGCACCATCAAAAATAATAAGCAAAAAATTTGTTAAAATGACAACACAGCTATATATAACACAACACAGTGAAACCAGTCACCCAACCAATAAAACATCTGAAAAAAGTAGGCACGATGCACGCACTTGTATTCCCAACACTTTGTTTGGAAGGCTGGGAGAGAAAGACTGCTCAGCCTTGCCTGGGACCCTGTCCCAAAATTTTAAAAAATGATTAATAAGAAAGGACCGAGGATGCAGCCAGTATGAAGGTCTTAGCTTCAATTTGTAGTACTGCCAAAAAAAAGTGAATGATGGGAACAGGAACTAATGATGAGGAAGCAAGAAGACCAAGCTGATTTGGTAAATAAAGGACCGACCCGTAACATTAATTATTGATGTCCTCACTTGAATCATTCAAATTCAGTTCACATCTGATGAAAAATGCTCTGTTTTGTAAGATCTGACTAAAAACTTTAAGCCCAAATTTATTTAGGGTGTCTGCAAACAAACCAGAGACCAAAAATAAAATGGGTATAGTTGCTGGGCATGGTGGCACACACCTATAATCCCAGCACGTGGGAGGCTGCCACAGGAGGATCCCGAGTTCAAGGCCAGCCTGGGCTACGTAGTCAAGTCAAGGTCAGCCTGAAATACCTAGTGAGAGCCTGTTCCACACAAACAAACAAACAAAAATGGTGTAGTCAAACTCACCTAAGGATGTCTCCGTACAAATTTGGCATAACAAGAACATCAAACTGGGATGGATCTTGTACCATCTACAAGGAACACATTTGTGCAGTTAGCAACCAAAACTGTAGCCACAGTGTTCATCACAGAAGGTAGCAGGTAAGTATGAAAATGTACTCACATTTAAACACACTGTATCAAGGTACATCTCATTAAATTTAATATCTTTGCAATTTTCAGCAACTTCCCTGCATTTTTGCAGAAAAAGTCCATCTGACATTCTCCTATATTCAAGAAAGAAAACAACCACATGAAAAAAATAAGGTTCAAGAAATTCAAGTTCCACAAGTTAAAATGTCTGATTTCATTTAGTAAAAAATTAAAGTACAACTTTTTCTTTTCTTTCTGTCTGTCTTTCTTTTTTTTTAAGACAGGATCTCACTATGTAGTTCAGGTTGGCCATGAACTCACTATGTAGCCCAGGCTGGCCTTAAACTCATAGAGATCTCTTGCCTCAGCCTCCTGTGTGCTAGGATTACAGGTGTGTACCACTATACCCAGTTCAGTAAAAAATTGCTTTTAGGCACTGAATAAAACTGAAAATGTCTTGGGATCCTTCAGGAAGCATAAAAGGATAAAAACATAAAATAAATAGTTTTTATCATAACAAAAAAGACTAGCTTTTTATAGTACTACCCAGAAAAAACCAAGATGTACTCAGTAATATTCTAAAATTGGTTTCATGGGTTAACCTTCTCCATTACTTAAATGGTTTTACTATTTTGCATGGTCAATGTTTTTCTTAGGTTAGGTAAACTGTTTCTTTATACACTCAGAGATAGCTTTTATTTGGCTGGGTGTGACAAGAATGTGACTCCTGAGACAGCAGATGGCAGCAGCATCACTGAAGCCCTGACCATGTGGCCATGGGGATCCCAGTCTCCAGCCTCCTTTCTGCTAACCCTCAGGCCTCCCTAAGCTCCTGGGACCTGGCTACCACTCCTGCGCATTGGCCTGACATCACCCAGTAAGCAGAGCAGGAGTGAGGTCTCCACAGGACTCACATGATGTTGGCCTTGTGCACCGCTGTGACGTTGCTCCGGTGATTATTCCGTGCATACTCAAAGGCAAACTCTGCAATGCGCTTACTCGCTGCCTCGGTGATGAGCTTGATGCTCTGCACGACTCCATCGACGATCTGAGAGAGACAGAGTCCTGCCCTGCTCAGAGGGTATGACCACAACCATGCAGGTCAGCAGGCAGTGTAGACCACATCACTATGGCATGCTAGTGTGGCTAGTGGCAAGAGTGTATCCACAGGCCAGTGTTAACCTTGGCTTTTGAAGCAGGTGTAATGAACCCTGCTGTACAGAAGAAAGTGAAGCCTAGAGACAGTCACCTGCCCAAGGGGACATCTGTGAAGCGAGCAGAGCCCCAGGCCTGTGAACCACCAGGCCCTGCTCCTCCTGCATCTATTTTCAATCAGCAGCTGCAGACCCAGACCTGGAGAAACACCCTACTCCTCAAAAGGCAACACTAACTTATCTTTGGGAGATGTGGTTGTATCTATAGGACTCCCTGAAGTCTCATGTGGTCACAGGTGGGGCTTTTCAGAGGTGGCTGAACCTATGCTGTGGGGATCACGGATGTGATGCTGCAATTGATTCACAGACGCTAGGATTACGGCTACCACACCCTGGATGTGAGTGCTACCTGCTCTAAGGGTGGAGGGCCTGGCTGGAACATAAGGGACAGAAAGAGAGTTCCTGCCTTTTGCTCATAGCTTGCTGCCTTCTGCCTGCCATGGACTGTTTCTCCTCTGCGATGTCCCTCTGCCATGCCACCCTGCCTTAGAGCCAGCCAATTATACACTGAAAACCCTCCAGACTATAAACTAAATAAACCCTTTACCTTTAATCTTTATCCTTTAACTTTGGGCATTGGGTATTTTTAATCAACAATGAGAAAAGTAACTAAGAGGAGTATGTCCAGGTGAAAATACGAGAGACAAACAGCAACTTGACTAGAAACAAGAATGACTGAACATACCACATGCTCAATCCCACTGTATTCTCCCTCAGTGTTCTCGCGAATGGTGACAATATTCACATCAGTGTAAGGGGTCTTGTAGCCTTCGATTGAGACGCACGGCCGGACATTGGCATAAAGGTCAAATGTTTTACGCAGCAGTAAATTCATAGACGGGTGACCAGCTGCAATAGGGGTCTTTAAAGGGCCTGTCATAAGAAAGAACACTCAGGTGACAACAGGGCACATCTGGTTTCATATGTGGCACCCAGCGCAACATGCATGCCACTAGCTGTATGACCTCCCTCAGATCCAGGCAGAGATGCAAATGACCTTAGGAGGCTCTGCAAACTCACACTTCCATTTTGGCAGCCTTTGGGGCAAAGCATTGTACTGTCAAGGTCCTCAGCATCACCCCATCCCCACCACGCTCCATGAGGGTCATTTAAAAATGGAGGAAATAAAAAATGAAACCCAAGACTAAGCAATTTGCCCAGGCCTGCTAGCCAGTGTGAGGCTGAAAGGATTTTCAATCTTGGATCTATGATTTTGAAACTGTGCCACGTTTCAATATGTCACATGCCTGTTGTTTTGAATCATGATCTTAAATGTGTATTAAAATAATGATAAAAATGTGAAAAATGAGATAAAAGATAAATTTAAAAATGAATACATACTATTAGTTGGTAATGACCAGTAATACTTTTATGTTTTTACTGGGATTTTAAAAAGAATGTCCAAAGCACCTTATTACAAGTGGTGATTTCACAAGACCATGGCTTTGCTGCAGTAAATGGTCAGGCCTTCCTTTGCCTACACAGTTGAACTCTGGGAACGAACACCTGGGGCAGAGAACGGTGATAGCCAACGTCTCCGTCTTACCCACCTACCTTTCAGACCCATCTTGTTCTTATCCATGGACTCCTTGGCTTCTGGTGGGATCATCCACTTCCCTCCAGGTCCCTGAATGGCAGTGACATTCCGCTCCTCCCACTGGATAGGTGCCTACAGGCCATGGGAGCACTGTGAGCTGATACACCAACAAGACTGCCAGGCTGCTAGGCGCGCCACAGTGACAGACAGACTGTCAACTCTCAGGTCTTGGCATGCAGAGGTACACACACTACACCTCACCAGCTCCCCTGCACACTTATCTGCCCCTCAGGGACCCACAAGGTGCTCCCATTAGAGTATGGTAAGAAGTGGAGAGAAACATTTCACAGTAATGTGCATGGGTGGATCTCAGAAATACTAGGCTGAGTACACATAGCTGACTACATAAAACAATGTAAGAGTCTATCTGTACCCCAGAACGGGCAAATATACATGTGTGATTAGAAGAAATAATGGAGTTTTCAATTTAAAAATAAATTATAGTAAAAGCTACACTGCCAAGAACAATCAGTAAGTATATCTGAAGCAAGGGGGAGCATTGCAAAAGGGATTAATGACAATGTATGTTTTACTATAGCAAGTTTTTTTTGTTTTTGTCTGTCTGGTTTTTTTTGTCTGTCTTTTTTGAGACAAGGTTTCACTATGCAGTTCAGCCTCCTGAACTCACTTTGTAGCCCAGGCTGGTCTCAAATTCACAGTGATCCTCCTGTCTCAACCTCCAGAGCACTGGAATCACAGGTGTATGCCACCGTACCCAGCCCATAACGTGTGTTAATGTATATATTCACTGTATCATTTGATCACCTCTTGATCAACTGTTCACAGCAATTTCTGTCAACACCGGGTGTGGTGGTGCACACCTGTAACCCCAACATCTAGAAGGTGTGGCAGGATTGTTTCGAGTTCAGTGTCAATGTAGGCTACATAGTAAGTTCAAGGCCAGCCTGGAAAACCTAGTGAGATCCTGCCTCAAAAAACAAAAAACAAAAAACAAACAAAACACAAAAAATTATGGTGCGTCTTGTTCTACCTTATTCACTAGATCTGGCACTGTATGACTCCTGGCTATTCCCCGAAATGAAAATGACCATGGAAGGTAAACATTCGGTAGCTGCAACAGCACAACTGAAGACAGTCACAAAAGAGGACTTTCAGAACTGCTTCAGAAAGTGGCAAGAATAATGCGATGTGTTCAAAACAAGGAGTGTTTTGATAGGAATTCATGGCAATGTGTATATTTTACATAATACATTTTTAAAAAATTTAAACACTCACTATATTTTTTGAGCACAACATACAGAGACAGAAAACAGACTGGTTGCCTAAGGGCAGAGGATGGGGTGGGGCGGGAAGACACAAGGACCTTACACCCCTACCCCCTAAAAAGACTTTAAACCCAAGCAGAGTTCAAACAGTCACAAATCCTGCAACACTACTTTGAGTACTTTATATACCATGGGTTTTAAATTATCACAATACTAGTAACAGATAACACTGCAACACATTATTAAAGAGAAGATCTGTAGAGATTAACAGCAGACCTTCCCAGCTATATTAAAACATGCAATTTGTCATCACAGAAGACAACTTCCATGAGTTCTTACTAAGTGGATTTTTTTAAAAAAGCCCACTTACTTTGGCAGCATCAAAAATCTTCATAACAGCTGCTGAAATTTCTGGGCCAATCCCATCTCCTGGAATTAAAGTTACTGTCTGAACCTGAATATAAGAAATCATTAAAGGAACAGAATAAGAACTGGTTTTTGATGGTTTAAAAAAGAATATAATTGACAAAGAGAGACAAATTGACAAATTCACGAGAGACCTCATCAGACCCTAAACCCTGTTAAGGTAATAGACAGCCCTCCCCAGGACCTTAGCAGAGGAAGAAATCAACAGCCAAGAGGCTCCACAAATCTATTCTGTCTGAGTTCAGAGGTTGTAAAAATAACTCAAATAATGAATTTCCCAATGGATACTTCTTTTCAGACAAGCTATGATGAGACCAATTGAACCAAACATAGTAAAGTATTTCAACAGTATATTTTGCATGAATTCAGAGGGTTCTTCGCGAAGGCTACCTGTCTCATGCCCTTCTTCAGGTGGGCAGATTTCAGACATATTTCCAGAGTATCAGAAGTCTATCTTGAAACTCAGAATCTCAGACTATACTTCAAGAAAAGGCCTCTGCGTTCCTAGTTCTTCTGTAAAACTGGTCCATAGGAAGTATCAAATAACTAAGCTTAGTCAAGTAAATTGTGGCCAATAAAAGTAACACATGAAAAGACCTACAAAGCTTGCATTACATTAGAGAATGACAATGAGTGTATTTATGATAGAACATCAATTACGTGTTTCAACTGCTTCAGCCAAAATGAAGCCAGCATTTCAAATGCGGAAATAATAGAAATATGAAAGAAAGAAAGAACGAGACTTAAATGAGTTAAGATAATTTTCAGACCTTGTCTCTGACACATTTGAGAACTAAACATTGTATTCATTTTATTACTGGCTACATTAGTCTACCTGGCCTTTCTTCCTTCCAGTTGCCTGAATGTTAAAAAGAAAATCATGAACTGACTTTAAATAAACATCAAATCAACTTTCCCTGGTCCTTCAACTGCTAATGATGCCTCCTGAACAGGCGATGAATTATTTTTCAATTCTTCTGTATAGCTCAAGAAATATTTTCACTTAATGTCTCCTTTTATTTCTTCTGAAAGTAATCCTCTCTATCAAGCTGATATATATATATGTGTGTGCGTGTCTGTATATATTTTATTATTTTTTAAAAATGGGTAGCCTCAAAATTAAGTAACTTAAGAGACAAATGATCAGCTCTCCGAATGTGTCTGAAATGCTGGCTTAACTACCCTGGAGCTCCAAATGCAAGGCTCAGTTTGCATTTTCTGTATGAGCAAGACCAAAAGAACCCACTGGTGTATTCTTCCTGTCCGTTCAATGTGTAATAAATGTTATCAGACCATGCAGAAATCTACTTTTCTCCAGTAGTAGAGAACATAAATAAGAAATAAAATATACCATGGTCTTACAAATCTCTCATGCATAAGGTGTTATATGGTCATATAGGAATTAGGGCATTCAAATCAGATTCTATAAAAGAGGATAAAATAAAAATGAATAGATTACTGACCCACAATCTTAGAATGGTCTAAAAATGTGGTATCAGCTTTTAAAGCAAAGAACTCTAATGCTGGGAACTCTAAAAGCAGTAGATTTAATGGATAAGAGATGATCCACTAACAACTGTATAGGAAAGTATAAGTCTATAGGGCTTAGCAATGCTTGAAAAATTTCTAATTGGCAATCAATCTACTGTTTTTAGGAAAACTCACAAAGTAAAAATGCAAAGCAGGGTTTGAAGCTTCTCAACAATTTTCTCTCAACATGTACTATCATGGAAAAAAAGCCTCTCACCAAAATATGAAGGTGAAATACAGTAACAGGCTCAAGGGAAATATCTATTTTAACAAGGCTCCTTCAAGACAGTAATGCCACAGACTTCCAGAGCCAGCTGTAATATAATTCTTTCACATGGATAAGTGACCTAATAGGTGTTCGTATGTTTGCCAATAATTTTAGTATATAGTATGTATGGCCAATTACCCCCAGTTTTAAATAAATGGAGATTAAATGCTATATAATGTATTAGAGCATCTTTCTTGAGAAACTTCTAAAAGAAAAAAAGAAAAAAACATAATTATACTCACACCACCAGCAAAACCTCTGGTCACCTGTTTTGGGCTGTGGAACACCCCCAGTAGCCGAGAGACCTACATGAACATCAACAGAGAGATGTTAGGCAGAGAATGAAACCACACAACAACGGTGGAGACAAAGTCATGCTGCTGGCTCACAATGTTACAAATCTATAGATATATTTAGGAATTTTCCTAATTATAATTTATAATTTAGAATACTCTACCATGTGTCAGCTTGCTTGGATTTTAAAATCTAAACACTTAACATTTTACATTTGAGCCAAGAATTTAAGCACTACATTTTTCTCAAAGTTGATTTTATTAATGTAGGTTGCCAACAATGTTTACGACAGAATGAAACTACATTGCTTTTTTTTAACTCAAACATTAGACTTTACTCTGATGATCTCTTTCATGCTAAATACATGAACAAAGGGACATGCATTCCTCCTGTCTTCAACTTCCTTTTCAAACCCTGAACCTTTACTCAAATACTGGCCTCTACTGATAACACAACAACCAGCCACCAAGAAAGTATGAATGAGTTGTATTCTCTGATCCTGGGAATCTGCAGTCATGTCCTGGACTGAAAAGTTAGGGTCAGACTCAAAATGACAGGCCACCAAAACCACCCACCAAATCTTAATCCTATTAAGATGAGATTCATCCACCAGCAGGTGGAGTATTAGAACAGAAGCCATTTAAAATTACTCTGTGACAAGCACTAAAACTTTGCTCATTCTTCCTGCCCCAATAAAGAGGGAAAAAAACAGTCAAATGAAATAAAACAAGTTCACATTCTTGTGGCAAAAGACCTGACCAAATTAAGAGGTAAACCCAAGAATGGAGCTGGGTGTGGTGGTGCATGCCTATAATTCCAGCATTCAGGAGGCAGAGGTAGGAGGATCATGGCAAGTCCGAGGGTAGCTTAGGCTGGCTACACAGTGAAACCCTGTCATGAAAAACCTCTATCGTAAGATTTTTTTATAGCTTATAGCACAGGCTGTTTTTTATTTCTTACCTGTACATATATATCACATCATTTTAGTTAACAAAATCTGGAAAGTAGAGAGATAGTACATGACTGTAATCCCAGAATTCTGGGAGGCTAAAGCAGGAGGATCATAAGTTTGTGTGCAGCCTGCAAAAAGCTAGTGAGATTGTTTCCCGAAATAAAAAATTTTAAGGAAGGCTAGAGGAGTAGCTCAGTATAAAGGTTCTGGGTTCAATCCCAGTACCAGAGTTAAGGGTGGGAGGAACAGGACCTGTTCCTTGTTCTTTTCATATTCCAACTTCAACACTCAATACAGTCTTGGATGATGGAGAGTAGGACAAGTGGTGGCTGCTGGTAAATTGGCTCATTATAGCAGCTAAGAGCTAGGAAAGTCTTTAGAAACCTTCTATTTTCTCTGTGGGAAGTTTTGTTTTTTTTTTTTTTTTTTTAAATTGCAGATGTTTGCACAAAACCTTAAATGGCAACCCAATAGAGGAACTCCTACATCAAAACTAGTATCAAGCACAGCCCTCTACCCTGGGTTGGCCTCAGTAGGACTTTCAGAGGCACTGACCACAACAAGGTAAAACTGTCCCAGAGACGAAGGCTGGTGTACAGGGAGGCGAGGTCCTTCTTGTTTAAGAGAACAACTAAGTTGCTAACAGGCTGGGTTCAGACCTGTAATCCTCCTGCCTCAGCCTCCCAGATGGACGTATTTCCAAGTATGTACCACCAAGCCTAAGAATCTCGTTCTGTGATTCTTTACTCCAACACTTGCTCAACTCCTCAGTTTCTTCTTGCAGTTCACAATAAAAGTACAATACATTTACCTTCGAACTTATCATTACTAGTGTTGTTTTAGTTCCCAAGATGAATTACCTATAGGTGTTAAAAGTAAACTCAGGGATTAAGGGACAGATTTATATTATGGTAATCCAGAAGTTACATCACCTTTAGAGGCAAATCTGATCTAACAGTTATCATCCCAAGCAAATTTGGGTCTGAAAAGACTAGTACAATCAAATTCAATTACTAAGCCCAAAACCCAGCAACCTCTGTCTGCTTGATGACTGGCCCCCTAAGACTAATCTATTAATGGTCAAAAATCTTCCGATTTTTGTGCTCCTTCTGCCAGTTCTAAGGTGCTTTTACATACACTGACCTATTTAAACCTCAAATAACTGCGACACAAGAATAGATACTTTTCTGATGGGCATGTATAAAGGGCACAGAGATGTGCATTTTGCTCAGGGTTACACAGTGGATGGTCTTGCTAGAATTTAAACCCAAGAACTCCTAAAATCCAGGGTAGAGATCTTATCAGTGCACCTTTAAACTGGAAAAAAAAGTAGTAACAAATCTGCTGGGAGATGGGAGTTGGGGTGTGTGAGAACCAACTGCTAATAGCAGCAGGGACCTATGGGTGGATGTCCCTATGCGACGCCTGGGAACTTGCTATGTGACCTTCATACTGAGCCCCAGGATGCCTGAGTTTCTATCCTGCTCTGACCCCGCGTGACGTTGGGTGAGTCTGTCTCCCAGCACAGGTTAACTCCCTGAGAGCAGGGAGTGGCGACGGGAATCAGGGATAATCTCAAATCCTTCCTGCTGCGCAGCGGGTCAGTCAAGGACACCCGCCCTCCTTCCTGATCACAGACCCCAAGTGCCAGAACAAACGCTGGAGGCCCTCTCGCGCGAATACTGGTTGATCCCGACGTGCATGATGCACAGGTCCTCAGAAAGAAAGCAGCTGCAAGCGCCCGGGGGCCCAATGAGGAAAGAGCCCAAGAAGGAAAACGGCCTGGCTCCGACCGAGAGCAGCGTGGAACGCCTGGAGGTGGCCTGGCCGGGGAGCTGCTTGCCGACTCCCGGCTCACTGAGAGGCCTCACTCCGTCCTGGGCCCAGCGCCCCCGCCTCAACCTTGACGCTCTCCAGCCTCGGCCGCGTGGGCCAGTGCGGAGGATCCCGTACTCCGCGGGGCGCCTCGGCCCCTGCCGCCAAGGCACTTTCCATACAGGGCCGCTCTGCCAGCTGCTTCCGCCCAGTCAGGACCAGCGGATCGCCGCCTGGCCCGCTCCCACCCGCCCTCGCTCACCTTGGAAATCCACGCTGGCCCAGCCATCGCATCCACCGTCTCGCCAGGCGACAGCCGCGACAGCACAGCGCGTGCGCTCAGCGGCACCCAGCGGCACCCAGAGCCCGCCCCCTTGGAGTGGCCACGCCCCGTAGGGGCACGCCCCCGCCTCAGGCCTTTCGTGTTCAATGCCTCCCCCACTTTGGGCACAAGTTGGCCAATCGCCAGGTTTCCTTCCCGGGACACGCCCAGCCAGCGGAGCAATTGCGACCGGAAGAGGCCTGAAGAGAGGCTCCGCCCTCTTCGCTCCTCATTGGTGGTTCGCCGCCTGCTGGGTGCCAATTAAGTCTCTAGATTTAAGTTGCGCGTCCTCTCGCGGAGTTTACGAATCCCGGGGAGCTAGAGGGACCATTTAGTCCGCAAGCGCTTGGGGTGTATTGTAACATTTGCACTTTGTAAGTGTAGGGCTCGGTACTTTTTGTAAATGCAAACAGTTGCGCAACCGAAGTTGAATGTAACTTTTTCTGTTTTTTAAACTCAGAGCCTTAACCCTCAGCTACACCTCCAACCGGTTTTTTTAATTTTTTTAATCGGTACTGGGGATGGAACTCACGACCATGCGCTGCAAGGCAGGCGCTTATGCTACTGAGCTAAATCCCTGGCCCTCTCCAACTCGTTTTTAATTCTAATTGTGAGACAGCAGCTCTCTAAATTGCCCAGGCTTCTTGTTTGTGTACCTTCTGCCTCAGCCTCCCAAAGCACTGGGGTTACTGGCGAGCGCCACCTGGCCTCGTTGGTCTCATTCTTTAGGTGTGGTACTGGGGAGTTGAAGGCGGAGCCTTTACTGAGCTACATCCGCAGCACCTTTTTTCATTTTTTATTTTGAGATAGGGTCTGCTAACTCGTTAGATTGTTGATTTAGCAAGGTTGTTTAGGCTTGGCTCAAATTTAAATCTACCTGCCTCAGTTTTCCAGTATGCTGGGATTACAAACATGGTGCCCTCACACCCAGCTAAGATCTAGTGTCAGGCACCCGGAAAAGTTACTTGTGCTTATTTTCAGTCAGTCCCCATCCGGACCCCAGTCTCAGGAAAGGGCTGATCTGTCTTCACGTCTTTACAGCTCTGCAGCTGCCCAACTACATGCCAGGCACTGCCGGAGTGCTGGAATTTAAAAATCCAGTAGGAATGACAGAAACCCTGCAATTAAACTATGAAAAGTGCCAAATAAGGTTTTGATAAGGTAGAATCAGGTGACCTAATTCAAACCTAACAGGGAGGCCAGGGAAGGCTTCTTGGAAGGAGACAGTACCCACAAAATCACCATTCCCTTGTCCTGTCTTCATGGTAAGGCCCCTCAAAGGGAGCTGGGGAGGCAGGGTGATCAGCCCAAATGTCCTCCTACTCCACTCTGGGAATAGTTCTCCCCGGAGAGGAGCTGGGCACCTGCCAGAAAGGTGATGAGTGCCTTGAAGTGACACAGTGGTTCTCCTGAGGTAAAATACTTATCAGAGGAGTCTTCCCCAGGACCTTCCTTGCTCCAGGACCTGGCAGTTCCACCTGAAGTGTTGTGCTGCAGTACTCCAATGCCACAGCTCTCCTCCAGGCCTGACCATCCTGGGCCCAGTTATTCCAACAGCCTCCTCACCAATGACCCTTTCTCTTCCCCCACCCTCTCTTTCTGGCACAGCTCTGTCCGGGGCTTGCACTGCCTCTAAAAGTTCTAGTTCCCTTGCTTATCACCACAGTTGTTCCAGCCAGTTTCCCACTGCCCTGTCCAGTCCCAAACACCCATAGCAGCAGCCCAATAGGCCTACTGGCCAGCCCCAAACAGTTGCCATGTTTCAGCTTGAGTGCCTCTATCTGCATGCTCTCCCACCCCATCCCCACCTGCCCAAGTTGCAGCTGCTTGTCAAGAATCAGCTCACATGTTGATTTCTTTGGAAAGTCCCCAAGACATGTCCACATGTCCCCTCTTTGACTCCCAGCCTCTGGCACTTGTCTTCTGTCTTACCTGAGAATTATATCATTCTTTCCTGCTGTGTACCTTGATGCCAGGGCCATTTCTTAAATCTTTGTTTCTGGAACAGAGACTAGTACATCAAGCTGTGTGATGCTCAGTGATTCTAAAGCAAACTATCCAATTTCCATTTACTCGTCACAGCAACCTTCTGGTGGAAACTGAGGTATAGCCAGTAAACCATGGACACCCACACAAGGCAACTTCTTAGGTACTAAGGCAGTTCTAGCTGCCAACCCTCCTTCAAGGATCTTCCAAGCCAGCTTTCCAAGCAGGGTCCCTGTCCACGTCACTCTGTAGGAAGGTATGAGAAGACTCAGCCCTGTCATCCATGTTTACATTCAGGGACAAGAGGTGGGAAATGGGAATCAAAGATTCTACTGTGGATATGGCATTTGACTTAGTCCTAATGAGGTAAAATATCAGCATCTGGATCAGGGCCATGCTAGCAATGCCAGACAGGCAGGAAAGTGTGAGTTCTTAGAGCCTCAGGTTCTCAGGGCTGGAACGAAGCTCAGAGGTGCCCCAGGCCAGACCCCACAAGATGCTATGTGTCCCTGGGACAGCCGGAGGCACACACAGGCTCCAGAAACTCCATTTATGTCATTCACTAGTGTTCATTTTCCCAGTCCTCCAAGATGCCCACCACTTTCCTCTGGAAGAGCTGCCTGTGCCTGTCCCTTGTTCTGTATAATCTCACCAACCTCACCATTAGCAAGGTGTATTTGGACTGGCTGGTGCTGAAACTTGGTCACTCAGGAGGAGGATCTAGAAGGTAGGTCCTTACCTGTGACCACCACTATGCACATGTACCCCTCCTTCACTGAGAGGAAAAGGTTTTTAAAATCAATATAGCAAGTTTTAAATGAATAAGCCATCAAAATTGAGTACAATTATCCACTTACCAATATGTTTTGTTTTTTACAGAAGCCACATAAAGTCATCTTAATGTCATTTTCTTAGTTTGTTTAAATGATTTTTATTAAAAATATGATTGACAACTGGGCATGGTGGCGCATGCCTGCAATCTCAAAACTCAGGAGGCTGAGGCTGGAGGATTGCTGAAAGTTCAATCCCAGCGTGGGCTACAAAGTGAGTTCAAGGCCAGTTTGATCTACATAGTGAGACCCTGTCTCAGACAAACAAACCAACAAACATCCAACTATAGTAAATAAATAGGTAAAGTCATTTCATAGCCAGAGTCACACAAGGAAATTTAAAACATGTTTAGCCTTAATTGTAATAAAATGTGTGCAAATTCTGTAAACTAGAAAAACTTTTCACCCCTTTTGTAAGGGATCATTTAAAAGTCTAATTTTCTACACTGTCCAATCTATGATGAAACTCCTATACTCTTAAATTTTGGCTTCCCTCAAGGATTGCTACAATCTTTTTGGAAACTAGTTTAGCAATGTGTCTCAAGAGCCAAAAAGTATCCTTACTCTTTCCCCTAGTAAATCTATTTTTGAGAATTAAATCTTTTGAAAAACCACAGAAAGAGAAAAACATCAGGACAAAGATATTCATGATAGGATTATCTATAATTTGAAAATTAAATAAAGAGTCTTAATGATTAAAAAAGGAAATTGTTATATAATTTAGGTTAAATGAATTGAATGAACCATTCAGCTCTCAAAAGTGATCATTACAAAGACTCAGCATCTTGGCAAATGCTTATGATTTAATGTTTTAAAAAATCAAAATATAAAATGTTGTCAATACTTGGCTATACGTTCTTTACCTGTGAGTGACACCCATCCTGCAGTTTTTCTCCACTCAATAAAATGTAACGCCAGTCTCCTCCTAGCTGTTCAGCTGGAAGCCTTAAGGTCAGCCTTAAGGTCAGCTCTATTTTTAAAATGGAGCCATATCTAGACATTTCTCCCCACCTCCACTACTGCTACTGTAACCTGGTCCAAGTCAAGGTCATGTATTGCCTGAACCAATTCAGTAGCTGTTATGATTTTGATCTCAAATGTGCCTCAAAGTCTCATGTATCTAGAAGTGGGGCATTTGAAGATGTCTAGATCATGGTGGAAATGCTATACTCCTCAGTGCATTGCTCCACTAATGAGTTTATGGCTGAACATGCTGTTAGGAGGTAGAGACTAGTTGGAAGAGATGGTCACTAGTGGGTGACCTGGAAGAGTATATTCTTCTTAAAAAAATTAAGTTTATTGGTACATTTTAGGTATACATAATGATCACATTCAGCATAGGGAATTTGTATCTGTACGTGAGATACCTTGATTCTCCCCCACCCCACCTTTCTGCTTTCTTGGGTGCCATGAGATGAACAGTCCCACCCCCACCCCAGTGCCCTCTAACCATGTTTCTGCCTTGGAGCTAGTAAACTGCGGACTGAATCCCTTGAACTGTGAGCCAGATAAAACTTCTCAGTTAAACTGCAGGCATTGTGCATTGTGTCTCAGTGATAGGAAAACTCACTAATATAATAGCTTCTAAGCTGGTCCTCCATGTTCTAACCTTGCCCCATTCAAGTCCTCCTGCAAGAAAGATCCTGTTGAGACATAGCAGGATCTCTCAACAGTGTGGTGTGGTGTAATGTGGTAGTGCACACCTGTGATCTCAGTTACTAGGGAGACTGAGGCAGGAGAATCACTAGGTTCAAGGTCAGCCTGGGCAATTTAGCAAGATGCTATCACAAAGAAGGGGTTGGTGATGTGGTTCAGTAGTAGAGCACTTGCCTGGCATCTGCAAGGTCCTGGATCAATCTTCAATACTACACACAAGAGGGAAGAGGAGGATGGAGTGGGGAGAGGGAGACCCCTTGCTCAAAACTGCCAGTGGGATCCCATCTCTTTCCAAGTAAAGCCAACTCCTACACAGTGGATCACCTGACCCCAAATGATCAGGTCCTTCTCTCCACTTTCTGTCTTGTCTGTCATTGCTATTGCAGCCTCTGTGGTATACTCTGCTCAGGCCATACTTCTTCCCACCTCAGAGCTTATGCACTAGTGTCCCCAAAGCCTAGATAGCTCTGTGTGCTGCCTGCTCCCTCTAACATTCCTACCCCAACTCTCCAGCAATCACCAGGCAGGACTCAATCTTGCAGTCCGCCTGCCTCAGTCTCCAAGAGCACTGGAATTACAAGTGTGTACCCTCCCATGCCCGTGCTCCAAT